GATATTATAGGAAAGTCAGGGGGCTGGTTTAGTTAGAGATATCTGGGTTGCATGTATTTTTAAAAGCACTGCTATTTCTCTCCTCCACAAGAGACGAATCTCTATTTTAAAGATTTAATGTTAAGCATCACTTAGGAAACAAAATATATTTTGCATTTAAGTAATGTGTAAGTCAAGTAAAGTTAGAGAAGTACAGAATTAGAAGTGTTATGGCAATACAATCAGATGCTACAACACAGCCTACCACTTAGGTCATTTGTAAAAATCTGGCTGCCTCAAAAATAATTCCTCAGCAAAGCAGAAATAATAAAATAAACTTTAAATGCATTTGCACTTACTACATTTATTGACTATTTTTAAAACAGTGGCTTACTCACTGTTTAAAATACCTCTCTGCTTCTTTTTTTTTTTTTTTTTGGAGACACAGTGTCACTCTGTCACCCAGGCTGGAGTGCGGGGGCATGATCTTGGCTCACTGCAACCTCTGCCTCTTGGGTTCAAGGGATTCTCCTGCCTCAGCCTCCCAAGTAGCTGGGACTACAGGCATGTGCCACCATGCCTCGCTAATTTTTTTGTATTTTTAGTAGAAACGGGGTTTCACTGCTTTAGCCAGGATGGTCTCAATCTCCAGACCTAGTGATCTGCCCGCCTCGGCCTCCCAAAGTGCTGGGATTACAAGTGTGAGCCATTGAGCCCAGCTGCTTTCTTTAAACAAATACAAGGAATATAATTTTATTTTTGCTGCTATTTGAGTTCATGATGATAACATTAGTTATCATATGGTGCTGACAGCATTTACGCCCCTTCACAAAAGGTACACTTTAGGGATGCTTGGGTTTTGTTTCTCTAATTCTTGTTCCTCCCACTGGCTTTCAGCTGTAATCCCTCATGGCTGTTCATGTACCAACCATAGAAACGAACCTTTTCTGCTTACATTTTGTTGCCTTAAATGTTTTCATGGCTCTGGCTCTAAAGAACTGAGTCTTATAGGAGTGGGAAATAATTTTTATTTTAAGCAGTCTGTCATCCAGCTTGAAATATTCTTTGGCTTTGTGGTTTGGTATGTTATCATGAAGACACATGTTTGTTTTATAAAGTTAAAACGTTTTTGCTCAAAATCCTAGTAAAATAGCACTTGAAAGAGTTGAAAGCTTAGTTACATTGTATTTAATACTTGTTCAAGGGTTCTTTTCTTCTAACTTTGCCTAGTTTGCAGAGGAATCCAGAGGAAAAGCAAATGCCTTTAGAAGCACAGGTGATCAGTATTTCCTAATATGAGCTGTGATGATTAACAACCAAAAAATCACAAGAAATAAAAAGGATTCAAATGAATCTCTGGTTCATCAAAGCACATTTCACTTTTGTCAAGTACTTTATTCTCCAATAGCTTTTCCTTACATAACAGTATGAGATATACTGAACCAATGATTGCATGTAATCTTTTCAAAATTACCTTCTCTGAATTATTAGTCTGAATTGGAATCAACTGGATCTAAAATCATTTTAGATGCTAGACATCTACAAAGAGTTTGGTGGTTACAGGTATTCTGCTAGTACCTGGAGAGAAAAAGATAAGTAAAATACGATCCTTGACTTCAAGAAACTCAGAGAATAGTTTGAGAGAAAGAAACATTAAATAAAATGTGAAGGCAGTGTAAAATATGCAAGGGTAGGTCAGTGGTGGCAAAAAATAAGTTATCGCCTCTTATTGAATGGGTCAAGGAAGGTATCACAGAAGTGGAGATTTCTCATCTGGGTTCTGGGACAAGAGGAGTTCACCAATCAAACTAGTCGGAGCAAATGCATTTCAGGAAGAGGGAGTAGCATAAACAAACCATGTAGTAGAATAGCTTATGGGGGAAACTGTAAGTGGTTTGCTATAGTTGAAGTATACGGTGTATGTTGGAAATCGGAGAGAAATGAACGTGAGGTAATTAAGCAGGAGCCAAATTATAGAAGACCTTGTATTTCATTCTGTGAACTTCCCTTTATGCTACAATGGGAAGTGATGGAAGCATTTTAAACACAGGAGAAATGGGATCTGCTTTATATTTTTAAAATATTACTCTATGATCTCAACCATGGGAGAGAGAAAAAAAGAAAAACAAATATGAAAAAAGACTAGAAGAAAATTGCAAAAGAATGAACAGTGCTTGTCTCTGGATGGCAGAATATTATTGTTTCATCTTATAGCAGAATGTAGTTTACTGTTATTTCAATTTCAGACATATGAACAGTCATCACTTCAATATTTTAATTCAAACAAGGAATAGTGACCATGTTTAGGTCCATCCTTAGCATTCACAACTTTGTTTACTGAAAAAGTGACTATCCTGTAAATCTAGAGAGTACTATGATACACCCTGCAGAAAAATTAAGTCAACAAGTATTAAGCTATGTCAGCTCACAGAAGACCTAGTTTCCACATCTGACAATCTCGACCTCTGGGAAGATCAGCGAATTAGCCACTTTAGACATTTCATTGATTTTGAAATAACCAACTCTGACTCTAAATGAAGTTTTAATATGTTTTACATTCAACTTTGCGGTAAAGGAAACATCAATTTCATTATACACTCCTTCCAAAGTCACCTCAAATTCAAGTACAATAGAAGAAAAATCATGCATTTACAATGCAAATGAGGCTTTAATTCACCTACCCAGCCATTCTGAACAGATTGGTGGCCCAAAGCCCCTGCTCTATAGAAAGTCTGGAGTCATCACCACCTTGCAAGGGCACAGACAATAAATGATAGAATCAGAGGCATGCAAAGCTTTGGTCAAAATGGTTTGTATCAATGAAATGAACAAAGCAATGACTGGCACAAAGTTCAATCACTATTACATTTATAACACATACAAAGTTATATGTAGAAAGACTGCTAAAAGCACTGCATTAAGCAAAAACTGTTACTACATAAAACCCATCTGTAAACTGAGAATATTAATAGCAACAACCTCATAAGGTTGTTGTAAAAAATTTTAAAAAATCATACACACAAAATGTTTAGAAGGTCATCTGGCACATAGCGAGCACTCAAAAATTTATAGTATCATTATCATTATTACTCTATCTCATAACTTGCTTCTTTTCAACAACTCCAACCTATAAATCCTAAAGATGTTCTTACTTATGTCAAAGAATATGTACTCAATACTGTAATTGAAACTTAATAATTATTAGAATGTTTTGAGAGAAAAGATTAATAACACTTATTTACCTCTTCATATCTGTCAAAAACTGCTCCTTCTTGCAAAAAGGAAGGAACTTCCTTCTGCCAGTTAAATTCATAAGGTTTGGCCATGATTATATTCAAGACCTAAAAATGAAAAGAGTAGCTCATTAGTACATAAAATGGAAAAACAATTGAGGATGGTTAATCACTTTGCATTTCTGTGTTTACGGAAGCTTTTCTTCAAATATGTGGAATACAGTTTTTTTCTTCTTCCCTTTGTCTGACCTCCAACTTGCTTTCTTTTCTCTAAACCTGCAGATATCATAATCAAGAAATACCAGAGGTGATCATTTGGGAAGTTTCCATTCTCTCCAAATCCCACAAAATAACAAGATGTGCATATATATATATATATATTTAAATCTGAAGGCACCAGATAAAATAAGGAAACCATAGACCAAAATCAATACATAAGAGAGGTCTGCTGTAAATAGCTAAGGGCACTATGGGCTTGAAGGTGAACATATGGGCAGGAGGAGCCCACAGGGTATAAGTTGCAGAATCACGTAGGCATAGCCAGAATTTTTTATAGCTCTTGGTCCTCTCTTTAGCCCTCTCTTAGGCTCTCTTTCCCCTACCCCGTTGTTCCTCACCTCTTAGGCCACGCGGAGAACAAGAGAACGTCTGGTTTTGAGACAGCCAGCTCATAGGGGGTCCCTGCAGAAACTCCAACCAGCCTGCCCACTGAGGTAGGGCCTCGGGATGTTCACAATGTTTGTAGCAGAGAGGAGCTTGGCCTCTCCTCCTTCTGTGTGGAACTTGGAATTCCAATGGCCGGGCAGAAAGCCCTCTAGCAGGGATTCTGGGCTTGTAAGAGTCCCTGTTGCCACCTTTTCTCCCTTTTTAACCCAATTAAACCCTGTCTTACTCATCATTTAAATTGTCTGTGAGCTTGAATTTTCATGGCCGTGGGACAAAGAACCCCATTTTCAGCTGAACTAAGGAAAAGTCCTGCAACAGTTTTATCATAGACAGTGAGTAGGACATTTAAAGAGAAGCTAGGCACTGTTCAGGGTGGCTCCCTGCAACTAGGAAGAACTCAGCATTCCTTTTACCCATTCTTGTTGGCAACATGGTATGTATGTGATAACTACAACCCAAACATCTTGCATGAGCATACAACAAAGAGTCACCAAATAGTTAAGCAATGCAAAGAACATGGAAGAACACCAAACACGGCAAGTAAAACTTACACCCAAGGAAAGACAGTGACCAGGAAAAACACGACCTGACTTCAGCATACTGATTTTTTCAGAGGGAAGACAGAGTATATTCTGTTCCTAAAATATAATTAACTACAGATACTAGAAATTTAAAACAAGATTGTTGAAATAATAGATGAGCTGAATTGTAAAGAAAACTCAGATGAAGTGTTGAGCCAAGGAATTCTTCAAAATGCAACACCAGGCCGGGCGCGGGGGCTCACGCCTATAAACCCAGCACTTTGGGAGGCCGAGTGGGGTGGATTACTTGAGGTCAGGAGTTCAAGACCAGCCTGGCCAACATGGCAAAACCCTGTCTCTACTAAAAAAGTACAAAAATTAGCTGGGTGTGATGGTGGGCACCTGTAATCCCAGCTACTCGGGAGGCTGAGGCAGGGAGAATTGCTTGAACCCAGGAGGCGGAGGTTGCAGCGAACAAAGATGGCATCACTGCACTCCAGCCTGGGTGTCAGAGCGAGACTCCATCTCCAAAAAAGAATAAATAATAAAAAAAAGCAACACCAAAAGAAATAGCATGCATGAGAGATATAGAAAATAGAAAGGAAAGGTTTAACAACCTTATATGGAGACAACGGAGGGATGGAAATAAAGCAACAGTAGAAGAACGTTTCTGAAACCTGAATATTTGAGTCCTCAGAGTGAAAAAATCCACTCATTCCATGTAGTATAAATGGGGGGAAAAGATATACACCCCCAAATATACCTCATGGTGACATTGAAGACACAAAATATGCAGAAATTACGAAATCTCTCAAAGATGCAGGAAGAGAAAAGATAATCTAGAGGTAAAATGACAATAAGACTGCTATCAGTCACATCATCCACAACACTAAATGCAGTAAGACAGTTTTAAAGTTCTGAGGAAAATAATTTTGGATTTAAAATTCTGTGTTCAATACTGTTTCAACTTTTAGGAGAAATATGTAGTTATTTACAGAATTGTAAGTAATCAGAAAGATTTAGCGATCTACTTTGAAAAATTTAATGCATTATATACTCTGTCAGGGGAAAATAAATATAGAGAAAGAGATATGGGAAATAATGTTAAGAAAAATAAAGTAAAAAGAAACAATAGGCTTACTCTTAAGTCTTATTGTACTATGCCAAAAAAGTAGAAAAGAAAAAATAAATTTAAAAATTAGCCAACCCAAATCCTAGATTATATCAATATATGAGTTGTGGCCAGTGAGGTGGTTGGAGGAACGAAGTTTGAGACAAAGGGAAGTAAAACCATTTTGGGAGGCGAACAGAGTTACTAAAAACTCTAGACATTAGTAGGAAAATTGGAGTTTAAATATGGGTGCTATGAATTTAAGAGTTATCCTATAGAAAATTAAAATTAAAAAAATATAACTTCCAAATGATTAGCAGGGGAGAAATAGCAAAAGAAACTTGAGCCTCTTTTAGAAAGTAAGCAGATAAAGAATGGAGAGAAGACAGGAACATATTATAAGTAGAAAACACAAAATAAAATTACACATCACTAAGCACAGTAAATAAGAATTGGTTAAATTCACTTATAAAAGAGGTTTTCCGATTAGGTAAAATTATGGTTGTTTACAGAAATATTTTGAAAACTATCTAAGAAGTTTGAAAATGCAGGGATGAAAGAAGATACCATGGGCACATGCTAAGAAAAAAAGAAGATAGGTATAACAATAATATGAGACAAAACAGACTTCAAGAGAAAAAGCAGAGACAGTAATAATACATCATATTAACTGCCATTAATATTTAAGCATGTCACCACACAGCATCAAAACATTTGAAAATTGACAAAGTACAAGGAGAAATTAGCAAAGTCACAAACAGGAGACAATGATTCTCAGAAATTAACAGAAGAAGAAGACAAAGAAGTAAGAATCTTGAAGATCTGAATATCATACTTAATAATTTAGTACAAACAACTTAAATAACTCAAGGTAACATAATTTAAATAACAGTACTTAATAAGCTTTATTCTCTCTCTTAATATATTTATTCTCTCTCTAAGTATATTATTTTTTTTCTTTCCCTCCTTTGCACCCTGGCTACCCACACACATATGACAATCTCAAAATCTGATCACGATTAGGCCCTAGAGGAAATTTCAGCATTTTTCAACAGGCAGAAAATATGGTGGTCATGCTCATTGACAACAACAAGGAAATGTATAAATTAATGACAGAGAGTGTACAACATCTATATACATGGAAATTAAACATTCATACCCCCCCCACACACACACATACATACACCCCTAAATCATTCTTGAGTTAAGCAGAAATTATAAACATTTTAGAAAGAAAAGATGAGAGCATTACAAACCAAAACCTAGATATGTAATATGTACCCCCCCAAAAAAAATTAGTAAAACAATGATGAGTAAAAGCAAAAGTTAATTGTTTTCTGTTGGATATATATTTGGCAAGTACTGAGAGCAAGAGTGAGAGATATAGAGAGAGGGAGATTTAGGTGGGGGCAGAAGGGAGGATGAGGAGGAGGAGGTGGCTGCAGCACAAACTCACACCATTTACAATGAAAAGTGGGATATAATTAAAGAAGGCGAATGTGAGCATTCTAAGAGAATACTGTGTATAACTTTAATCAGAATATTTTAAAAGCTAAATAAAGTATATATCTTTCAAAGTTAAAATACATTTGGCTTAAACGTAAAACTAAAAATGGAATTTTAGTTTTTTGAGGAACTAAATGATCCAGCGATCCCATTTCTGGGCATTTACTGGAAAGATTTGAAATCAGTAGGTCAAAGAGATATCTGCACTCCCATGTTCAATGCAGCATTACTCACAATATCCAAGTTATGGAATCAGCCCAAGTATGCAACAACAAATGAATGCCTAGAGAAAATGTGGTGTATTATACACAGTGAATTCAGCCTTAAAAAAGGGAAGAAATTCTGTCATTTGTGACAACATGGATGGAACAGGAGAACATTATACTTAGTGAAATAAGCCAGATACAGAAAGAAAAACATACATGTGCTCACTTACATGTGGAATATATAACAGTTGAACTCATAAAAGCAGAGAGTAGAACTGTGGTGACCAAAGGCTGAGGGTAAGGGGAACGTGGAGACGATAATCAAAGCATACAAAGCCTTCTATCAGTTACGCAGAAGAAATAAGTTTGACTTTGAAACCTTTTGCATAGCTTGGTGAATACGGCATGTATGTACACACATAACCACACAGCTTCTACCCAAGGAGCTTAGAAACAAGCTTCCAAGGTAGATGATGTGCATCCATGCCTTCTATGCTATCAAACAGATCTGCAGAGAAAAATAGACCCACAGATCCCCCCTCTTAATAACCAACTACAGAGAGCTAAGTGCTAGCTTGAAAAATAGATTGAAAAACAACATGGTGGCCACCCCAGTTTGCCAGGCTGTGAAGAATGGTAGGCAAAACATCTCTCTCTGCAGGATTGTATGTGTTCTACGATTGTCTCACTCCTGACAACCATCCCTTTTAATTTGTCCCTTTGGTTTCATTTTAAATCAACAAGAGGCTTATGGATACAAAAAGTTTATATCAAAAATAAAAACAAACAAACAAACAAAAGCTGTTTACGGTTTGCGTCATCTTTCATTGGTTTAACTCTGGTCCTCCCAGCATCAACATAAGTACCCTGTGTATGATGTTTCGCTACTATTCTTAACTAGTAAAATATTCGTCTCTACCTTGGGTACTAATTTCATCACAATAGTCTCATTACATGAAGAACTTTGAGGGTGAAGGAGGCTGATGGAAGGAGGAGGGTAATTTTGACCTTAATCTCTTCTGCAGTGGAGGTGAAAGTTCATTTCATTGTTTATTCCTTCAGAGCACTGGGGTTCAGAACAAGGTAAGTAGTACTCTG